CTTCCATCCTGAGATATGTAACCTAAAACTCTATTGTATTGTAAAAAGGTTCAAATCGGAGCTCATGACTGTTTTGCCCTAGAAATTGTCAGATTTCTGCAGACGAGTTTTTACTAGCCTTCAGCTTGGCTATGTCCATCATTGGCGAATTCTATGAGCCTCGGTAATTATTTTTCATAATAATATTGTCAAATATTTAATAAGTTTAGGCAAGGAGGTAACACCACTATAAAAACTTTTATGTAAAAACGAAAAAAAAAAATTAAAATTATTTATTCTTCAATATGTCCCTTACAAAACAAAAGAGAAAATTTAATATTTTAAAATTGATGAATGTAAATCTCTAAGTCATTTTCTCGAATTCTAATCGTGGGTTGAACACTTAATATAAAGAATTAGCTCATTCAAACTTAAAGAAACTTCTACGGTTTGAATTTGTGCTTACAATTTTCATTTGACAATTTTCGCCGTTACAAATATATTTTATACTACACACTGATCTCGATGGATCTCGATGGCTTGTCTAGACTTTACAAGCTTTCTTGTTTTGAAGGAAAACGATCAATAAAGGTAAGCTGAAAATACATGTCGCTATAATCTCTATATAGATGCGACCTTTTTAATCTCTTAGCAGAGAGCACATCTTCTGAGCGTAGAAATGTAAAGCCGTTAAATAAGAATGAGAAACGAGCAAGCGACTCATACGATAAGTGTTTTAATCTCTTTAAGTGTTGCTAAGTTTGAGGATAGATGTGAGTTTTGTAATAGTTCAGTCCGATTTGAGTATTTAGCCATTCGAATTTAAAAGGTAAACGTTGAGTCGTTAGAGTTTGTTTTCCATCGACTGTGTACTGTCCATGAGTAAGCTTTTTGGGTATAAAATATATTTTACTGAAGGCTTTTTTAACTTTTTTATTGTTCCATTATCCATATTGATTAGCAGAAATGCTCACGAGCTGCTTGATCTTAAATGTGGCAAACAAGCACATTGTCTCTGTTAAGGAAGTTTCCCTTTTTATCGCTTCATTAGGCAGATACGACTCGTCTGATGGTCAGTGGTCACAAGTGCTCATAGATATTAGTGATTGACAGCTGAATCACTGCTTTCCACCTGGGACTCTTTTCGTTTGAAGACGGTCATGTTACAGCGCCCAGGAAACACCGTGGCGAGGAATAATATATGGTAGGTAAATGGCAGGAAGTATAAATAAATATTGAACTGGCGAGTGGTGGAATGGTAAAATGGCGATGGTGGAAAAATACATTAAACAATTTCTTAAAGCACCGCCCATGTAATTTAGGGTACAAAACACAGACAGAACCAAAGTACTCAGTAGACTTAGATTAGATTTAGGCTCCTAACAATGCATGAGGCCGAGATTATCACCCAAACGCCCTTTTCAGTACGGACTTAATTTGAAGTATCTGAAAATTTGGAACCCCCGGCCTAGAAATGGAATGAGTAGTCCACGAGAGGCCGGTCCTGTGCTTCGTAAAATTTCGTTAAACATTGGTTAAATGATTCAGAAAGCTCACGGCCCAGTTGGTATTATGTAGTTATTGGAGCATATAGGTAGCAACATGAAAATTTACTCGCCTTGAGACATGAGGTTGACGTACCTATGGGTGTTCTACTCTTCAAATTGGAACCTCTTAATTGTACGCGGTAGAAATGGATTGGGCTGGATTGGATGATATCTACCAGTGCGGCTCAACATATTCTAACAGACAACGGAACCTTATAAAAACCCGATCGAATTGATATAATTTACAACTAAAATTAAAAACTAAAACAAGAAGAGGAACTATAAAAGTGCCAAGAACAGTAAACGATAATTAATGTAAGACACTTGACATCGGTATTTCACGGCCTTTGTCGTCATAATAGTGTTTCGTTGCACCCAGATGTTGAGGCACTTAGCGGCCTGCACCGGTTTTATTATGAATGGCAACGGAACTAGAATTTTGCGGTTTCCCCGTGGAGGCAGACGCAAATTAATGTCCCGGCTTTCAGCTAGAAATTAATGCAATGCACCCAGGTTACACAGCCAAATTGTTGGCGTTCAGTAAATTTCGTGCGCTACCACGTCGCGAATTGTTCTATTAATAATTGATGCGTTGAAAGGTACACCGACCCACTTTGTTAACGTACTTAAAGTAAACATCATTCTGTAATACTTCTTGTGTATTTTGAATTGGAAACAAAAAATAATTTAGCTAGTTCTCCACATGATCGCTTTGTTGGTACTACACCAAGACTATCGTACCAAAGTATGTTTGCTAAAGATAGTTTGAATTTGGACTCGTGGTCTTGCCTTGTATTTTACTTATTCAAATGATCGAGCACACGGCCCATATGTTTCACTGGTTTTGAAGCACATCACTTATATACATGAGATCTAAGTCTCAACCGTTTAGTGTTAACGTCTGACCCACCCTTCAAACTAGAATGAATTACTGCTTGATTTACACCGCTATATTTGATTACGTTTTGGAAACAGATAAATACGCATATCGGCACTGTGTTCTGATCGTGCAATTCAAAATGTACGAATGGAGGAAGTGGGTATGATGGGTGGTTATTTTTGAACAAATTAATTTTGTTCGAAGCCATTTCTTGCTTCTTATTCAGTCTGAATGAAAAAGCGCCTACGGTTCGTGTTGTTCTGTACGAATGTAATTTATTACGTTTAATGTAGACCTATGAACTTTGGGAAAAACTTTTCCTTAACCGCGCTTGCCGCTTGTTTTTCCAAGGTTTAAAGTAAAAAGATAGAGTCGAAATGATGACAATTGCTTGCCATCACTTCATTCCCACAACGTGATATCGATTTTATATACTCAAATATATTTGAAAAGATAGGTCTTGGCGAAAACTTTATAATCTTACCTATATTTTTGTCGTTTGTCAATCAATAAACAGGCATAAGTCATAAAAACCCCGAATATCTCATTAAATCAACTAGCAATAGTAAATTCGTTCGGCCATATTGAGATTAGCTAGCTCAAATGCACAAACAAAACAAAAAGGACATTTACGATGACAATGGAAATTGATGATAAATTGGTGATATTTTGAAGAGGCTTTAAATTTTATTATTTCTCAGTTTTCACGAATCGTAGACACAATTAAAATTACTTTTAGGATTGAGTCTCAATATTGCGATTGGTGTTAAGCGGTTATCGGGGCCCATCGAGATTTATAACGTAAATACCACCACCTACCTTAAGATATAAGTTCTAAGGTCTCAGTATAGTTACAACGGCTGCCCCACCCTTCAAATCGAAACGCATTACTGCTTCACGGCAGAAATAGGCAGGGTGGTGGTACCTACCCGTGCGGACTCAATAGAGGTCCTACCACCAGTAACTCAGGACCAATCCGGACATTATAATGAAGTTATTAAATTGCTATTTTGTTATAGGTTATGTTTAAGTTTTTTATGATTGAAGGATGACTGGTGGCCCTGAGGCCTTTCCAGTTTCACCATGTTATAGGTTCTTGATGTGTGTGCAAATGTTCAAGTCACCTGAACGTCTTGAGCGTCGGTGAAAATAACGTTCAATGATTCGGTTACATACAAACATACATAGGTACAACATAATGAAAGCGTAATTAAGCTACTGTTATGATTTAATCTCACCTTTTTATTTTTATTATATTATTTCAGATGTTTCGAATACTTATAATTTTCGGGATTACGGACGGCTAAGGTGTTATTCGTCTATATTTGAATATTGTGCTAAATACCGTAGCTTTTTCTGTAAAAAAAATACTACACCTTTTTTATTTTTTTATTGCCCTCGTAGGCAGACGAGCATACGGCCTACCTGATGGTGAGTGGTTACCGTCGCCCATGGACTTCAGCAATGCCAGGGGCAGAGCCAAGCCGCTGCCTACCGCAAAACCTACACTTAAACGTTCCATTCCACAGAGAACGAACTAATATATTAATCTTGAGGTCTGGTAATTTGTTTGACTTGGATTTTTATCTTAACGATAAGATCTCATGTGTTAGATAAGTGCCGACCATATTTTTCCCACATCTCATTCTCTCAACAATTCTTCGGATATAACTGAAAGACAATTAAAAAATTTAAGATTAAGCCCTTAAAGTAGTTTTTATTACACTTCGCAGAAGTTCTCAAGGAAATGTAAACTGTGGTCGTTCAGATTAGTGTGCATTCCACATGGGTGTCCAATGCAAATCGTACAAAATAAGTAGTCGTAAGAAATAGACCGGATGGTGGTACGAACCCGCGCTCACTCACAATACGACTTAACATCAGTAAATGCCAATAGCCGATCGTAGTATGCTGGTATAATACTCATAGAACTTTGCTGCCTGTTCTCCGGCAAATGCCTTAGTCGTCTTTTATGACACCGACGGGAAGATGTAGGGTGTGGCTATCCTAGGCCGGATAGGACGAGAGACCTAGCCAAATGGCATCGGTTCGTGGTAAAGGCAGTTTTTTTTCCTACCTATTCTAGTAACCTCGAGGGGTTATTCTAGATTCGCCGAGCTTGTAGGTGAGCTCACGGGGCTCAAGCCTGACGAACAGAATCTACCACCGGATCAAAGGCAGTGATGATGATGATGATGATCCATCCGACCGATTTCGGCCATGGCAACCACTTCAACTCCTATTCGGGGATTTGGCGCTCGTGCGTACGAAGATGGCTTATATAGCTTATCTTCGCAGCGAAACTCCTTGCGCATTGAGGGCACGTAAGCATTCCGTTCTCATAATTATAGTTTATGGGAGCAGAAGGGCGGGCCTTCAACTGGTCGCGTTTGTAATCACGGTCTGCTTTAGTTAGCGTTAGCGTTAGCTGATCCCCGAACTCGCGTACTTGGCTGTTCCATCCTGTATCATGCTTGTACCATCCTACGCCATTCTGGCCACTGTGCTGCCAAACGCTCCCATTGAGAGGGCTCTATATCACATCTCTTCATGTGTCGATTCACGACATCCTTGTACCGGAGAAGCTGTCCACCATGACTTTGCTTGCCGTCCTGCAGTTCAGAGAAGAAGATGCGCTCTATCCACTCTTTCCTCCGCCATGCAGGATATATGACCGCACCACCGAAGCTGCCGACGCATTAAATGTAGTAGTAACATGTCAAAGGGATCCATAACGTACAACCACCGCTACTCAGACAACATTGAACGACTTATGAGGTGAATACGACAAATGATATTGTGATTAGTATTTATCATGACACCCGTTATATGCAAATACACTACACTGTTTAAATTTAAAAAAGGCGCAATTTCCAAAATGGGTCTTTTTCAAATGTTTTTTGACTTAAAGCGGACGCCATGAAAACATTCAGTTATTAAATACATATCTAAATCCAAAACGTTGATTCATTTAGAGCATAAAATAAAGGATCTCAGTGATTCCAGTGCCGAATCTAGATAAAATTATTGATCTCTAAGTCTGACAATAATCTATGGACTTGAATAAGTTCTTGAGAACCGTAAAGCTACGATCACTTTGAGTTGACAGATATTTAGTTGCTCTACTTTAGTAGTGTGCTCTACTTTGTCTCTTAGTCAGACGCGAACATAATATTCCGTTAATTTTAGGAACAAATTCTATAATTCAACGTCCACGAATTCAACTTATAAATATAATATTAGAACGTTTTTCTTTTGAGCAAGATAGATTTCGTCGCATCTAGAAGTTTGTCTTTTATATTACATCGAGAAGCCAGTTAAAAGTTTCCCTTGTATTAGTGAATTCTAAATATTTTACTTTTATGACTCGTCGTGAGGGATTTTATAACAGACGTTGAGTTAAAGCGTTCTCGATAACGGTCGAAGGTAAGTGTGGTTCAAGTTATAGTGCGCGCCATAAAGTAGGGTCGAAAGTTATTCGGATCGATACCCGGCCTTACTCATCCGCGGACGTGGGTACTTGCTGGACACGTCGCGTGCCACCTTTCATACCAAAATATCGATTTTTCCACAAAGCCGCGTCACCGCAATCAATATACCTTTCCGCCCCGTGCCTAATTACGCCCACCTACATCACTCAACATCCGTAAAAAGCACAGTAATCGCTTCGGAAGCGGCCACGAGATCATACCTTCCCTGAAAAATAGAGCGTACTGAATCATTGAAAGCGCACAGGAAAACGCTTCATTGTAAACGTTTTATTTAATTTTCCCTCCATTTACTTTTTATAATTTCTGCCGGGCATAAAAAACGATCCGCCGCCGCAGGAAGCGTGCACACATACGAGTACGCCGTGTCTGGACACACACAGGGNGCTTCGGAAGCGGCCACGAGATCATACCTTCCCTGAAAAATAGAGCGTACTGAATCATTGAAAGCGCACAGGAAAACGCTTCATTGTAAACGTTTTATTTAATTTTCCCTCCATTTACTTTTTATAATTTCTGCCGGGCATAAAAAACGATCCGCCGCCGCAGGAAGCGTGCACACATACGAGTACGCCGTGTCTGGACGCACACAGGGTAAGAACACCTGTCTCGGGAACGAAAGGTGTGCTCGGGCTTGCGGGAGCGAGACGACTCTACGTAAGGTTTGTGCGTTAGACAGAGATATAGGATGCGCGCGCAATGTGTCGGCACGCCCGCCGCGCGTCCCGCTCGCTCGCCAGTCTAGCCGAACCGAAAACGTTAGTCTTTCGCGCGAAGAAGCAGCGCTAGTACGTGCCGCTCTATGCTTCGACGTGACCGACGCAGTCTCCGTAACCGACGTTCGGAAAATTGTGCATGTGCGTTTTCCGAAGAGCAGTGTGTGTGATTGTGAGATGTGCTATTGTTTTCTAGGTAAAGGAGCTTACTATCAATAAGTAGTCGGATGCGACATATTAATTACAATAATTATAGTACCGATTATTTCAATCTTACTACAACTTTATTAAAACAAAAAAAAAAAGACATTAGTATAGAAACAACAAAGGTGTAATAAATGGTCTGTTTGATTTTTTGTTTAGCTTCAAGTTTTTTTTTATCAAAGTTCACTTGTTAGCTGCTCTTAAAGCGCGATTCGTTTTATGGAGCGTTAATTGTTTGCGCCGTATTAGATAAGCTAAACGATGCGTGAATGTAGACAACTTGATATAGTTTTTTCAAAATTAAGGTTAAGAGTTTGACTATAAAGATGAGAATTAAAATAAGGGAAAGTAAAAGGTATTATTCTCATAACTAGGCGAAGAACAAGGAAAACAAGAATTTTGCGTCAGTCGTATGATAAAAGTAAAAAGCGAACACACAACAATGGCAACGTAAAAATTACTGCCAAGAATTGACGAAACGGAGTACTTTCTGAAACCACGCATTGTACTGAATCCAAACAATGGGAAATCATACACTCCTAGCATACTACTACAGTTGGCGGAATTTTGTAGATATGTATAATATAGAAATGAAAATAAAAACTGTAGCGAACAGTTAGAAAGTAAATGTAGCACGAAATCGATGCACGAAATAAGAAAAACATTACTTTGCAAAAACTGCATTTCAGTTAACGATGGATCTTGTAAAAACTGTATCAAACGGTCATTGATACTAGTTTCTCCGGTTAGTGAAAGCTGCAGTATAATTGTGTAATGATTTATTGGATAACTATTATTTTTCTAACTAAACAACCTTATGGATATTCATTAGAAAAGGCATTGGAGAGTAAATGAAGTATGGTAACAACACCGTTCAAAACATTTTCATCAACAAGCAAAAACTTAACTCTTTATGATTTATTTATTTATCATGAAAAATTTATGGTTTTTTCCATGGTCTCTCACCACAAAATGGTGTCTTCACATTTGTACATGTTAATCTGTAACGTCAAATCGATAAGCTAATTTAGAAGTGGTTTTTACTGAAGATTTGGAAAAAACAAGGCTAATATTTAGTTTTTGTTTCATTGAAAATGTATGAGAAACTAAAAAAAAAATTTACAACATCTATGAAGTTTTCGGCACGCATTCAATTAAATTGAAGTCTTACCAACTAGAAGCTTCGCTCGGTTTGAACGTGTGAAAAACTTGACAATTGTCTGTATCATAACTTGTTTTAGTTCAAAAAGCGTAAATGCTACCAATGGATATGATATTATATTCAACGTGAACCCAACCACGTAAAATAGAAGCGAGCGCTACTCAATGTCAACGTATTTAGATGACTCTTTCACGGTTCGTGCTCGCAAATGCAGAGAAACGAGTGGACTCGCTCGTTATGGTTGGATTCTCGTCGCCATCACGAGACAGACACGCAAGTTCCATGAATAATAATTCAAGAATATACGAAAGCAAAATCAAGCAGCGTAACGCTAAACACAGGACAACGTAACTAAATATTTTACATCAAACGTTGTACTTTTGTTATACGTGAACATTGAAAGATCGTTTCGACTAATTGACGTAAATTAGAGACGACCTCCAGAATAGAGCGACGACGCTTCCATTTGAGGATTTTACCGAAAGAAATGGAAGGTTAATTGAATTATTAGACTAGAGATCCGTGTGCATCGCCTGTGGACATCATTATAAGTTTTAACAAGCCTGTTATAATAATTGAATAAGGGTTTGTTGGATTAGCCTTACTGAGATAAGTTGAAATGCTTTGGTTGATTCATTTTTCAAAAATATATTTTTAATAACTTCAAATGTAATGTTATGTTGATGTGATATTTCGGCTCTAGTACGGCATTTAGATTTGTAGTGCGTTCTCTGCTGCCTCGGCAAGTATGTAATTATAGAAAATTACCTTTTTTTTATTCAACCTCATCGTAATTACTACTGAGTCAATTCGAAACACACATGTGTACTGAGGTTGCAGCCTATTGTTTCATTGCGTCACTGCTTAATAAGATTAGAAAAATGAACCGGCAACGTCTCTGTTAATCATAGGAACGAATGGAGTTTTATTTACGTTAATTTCGACTTTAAAGATTATATTATAGGCACAATTATTATATTATCACTCGAGGAATTTCTACTGTATCAAAACTATTAACTTCGACAACTCTTTTACTCTACTTCTATATCTAATGTACAATCTAAATATTGTATTTTTAGTTTTAATATTGTAGGCTTAGGTACTCGTAGCTCTGATCTGATTGAGTAGAGCGAATGAGAGTTTGCAGGTTATTGTTATCGGAAGGTGCCTGATATGGTATCGTCGTACTGCAGGCGAAACGCGAATCCTTCTAACAAATGAGAATATTTCAAATTACTAATAATGAAATAAACAAACATATAACTGACTGTGGTGGGGATTGAACAAAATGTCTTCGAGTTTGCTTTTACTAGACGCCAACAAAACATCCGACATTGTACGCCTATATAACATTACCGAAAAAATAACAATGAATGTTTTACAGACGACGTAGCCAACTTGTTTTACAGTTCATAAAATAACTAAAATTTAGGTAATTCATGTCGGATTCTAAATTTTCTTAGCATCGTAAATATAAGTCGTCCTTGAAAAGAAAACTGCATTTAATATAAGATACAGCAAGGCTCTTCGCCGACAAGCATTGTTTTTTGTGGTCTGGAAAACTAATATATCACTTTGATTTGTCATACATTACTACGTGTTTGTATGTTTGTATCGTGTTACATTTTCCACGCCTCCTCTTCTGCAACGGATGGGAATAGCCCGTATTGCAGATAACATGAATTTAAAACAATATAATTGAAAATGATTAATTATTACTCGATATGAAAAAAAACTATCGAATAATAAATGTAATAACATTTAATTAACAAATACATATTTGGAAGTTTTGTTTAGAAATAATCGGTTTTGTAGCTTTTCGGGACTATTTTGCTTTATCTATTTGGCAATGAAACGACATTGTGTCGTATAATTTGAATTGGTTAATTTTTAACATTATCCAGAAAAATATTCCTATCGTTATCCCAAATGTAAGCATAAAAAAATCGTAACGTAGTTTGCATATATAAAACTCGTAACATTTGATCAGCTACAGAACTTCACTTTACGGGAAACATAAATATTTGCCGCAATAAAATCTATTTGGGTGATTAATTAAATGTAACATGATGTGGCGGGCAGGCCCCGCGGCGCCCGTTTCGTGTGTCCGTCTGATGAAAAAAATACACAAAAACCTTTTAAAATAACGGATTAGGCGGCTTAAAGTGTTTAGATAGGACGACTCTTTAATTAGTTCACAATTTGATACAGAAAGTACCATTGGATAATACGCATTCACTTAAAACAGACAGGTAAAACCTTTTTTTTTGTGTAATTGAATGAAAAAATCTAATTAATTATTTTGCAACATTTCATTCTGATAGATAAACACGCACATATGTCAAGTTCATCTATATCTATACTAATATATAAATCTACAGTGTTTTTTACGGATGTTCCGTTATAGCTACTGAACAATGCATCCAATTGACTTGAAACTTGGTATTCATGTAGAAAATACATTTACCTAATGGATAGGCTAATATTTATATGAGTGTTGGACTCCCTATTCCAGTTGCGGGGGCGTTAATGATGAGAATCTTTGGGGGGGGGGGTTGAGAAATAATAATGTTAATTTTAAATGCCTAGCGAAGCGGACGGGTACACAGCTAGTTAGTTTTATAAACTGACATCAGCGATATAAATAATTTGTCAAAACATATTGAGTAGTTTTACTATGTGATATTATTGATGTATTGTGAAACTTTTTGCGATAGATAAACAGGTGTTTCGTAGGTGTTCAGATTATGATGCTAAATGGGTAAATAGGTACAATTTAGGCCACGGCCCCTCTCCTCCACTCCGGCATACCCGTCGGTCTGATTCAACACTTCGTTGCGGCAATTAGATTCAATTTGCGGGACGGTTCGCTCACTATGAATATGGGGCCGCGTGTAACAAAGGTTCATTTCTCTCGAAATTAGCCCGAATTCGTTTCGCTGTTTACTAATTTTCAACGTTAATCTTTCTAATTACATAGAGTATATTCTAACGGGGAAAGTTTTTTGTGGGTGTTCCTTTGTGAAGTATGCAGTAACATTTTAACGTGCAAACAGATTCTTGTGTTTTCTCTATCATTCAAAATTTCTAGATTCTCTCGTGAGTAAGAAGAGGTTGAAAATTCATTTTAAGGAAATATGAACGCTGTGGGAGTTTAATTAACTAGACGACTAGGTCGGCTGTCATGTCGGTCGGCGATGTTAATTGGATAGGCCTGTTTTGTTACAGCATCCTCTATTTCAGGACAAATTATTAAGTCGGTACTTTAAAAGGGAAAACATAAAATTAAAGATTAAAATTATTTTCTATGAGGAATCGTCTTAAGAGTTATTCTTTGTAAATATGCTTTAAGAATATTAGAAAGTTTACCTTAAAATAAATAACTAAACAGAGTTTAAAACTATTGTACAACTTTTAAATCATATAATACTAACAGTTCGTAATAGGCCTTACTCCTAAAACTCATGAATCTTCAAAAGGCCCTTCAGTCCGTATCCAACAAACTATTTCTTTGCGCCCGACCCCATAGTTTTCAAATTATATTAAGCTAGTTTATGAAGTTTCTAACAGAGCGAGGTTGTGCATAAACCGCACGATACTGTTTATTGTATCGATTTGCGGTCTACTGTTACCGAAGCCCTTGGCACTTATCGGTATTATTGTTTATTACCAGTTTTAACGTTCTTTTAACGTCTTACCAGGCAGAACTCAGTTTCTGAACTAATAGATAGGCAATTAGATTTGGTAAATATTACCTGCTGTTTAATTAGGTGGAGTAGGGTCTGTTGTAAATTCGCGCTATTTCTATCGCGTACTGCTGTTATGAGTTC